AGTAGCAAGTAACAGAATGCAGACCCAAATCCAAATTGAGTCCATTATCTACTCTTCTCTACTCTATACCGTGCTGATTGAGAATTAGGTATGTATGGGGACAAAGGAAGGCAGACTGGAAATATGTCTGAGAAGGGGGGAAAGAAGAAAAAAGTAGTTATGGAACCCACAAGAAAAGACCAATGCACCATAAATCCAAGAGGATTCCCAAAGCCTCAGTCAGATGACAACAGAGGTCTTGAGGAAGGAGGATGTGGCAACCATCCCAATATTCCCAGGTGCCTGAAAATCATCTGGATGACAGACCACCTTTGGCCCACTCACAGGAATAGAAATCCTCAACAAGGGATTTGAGGAAAAGGGAAAACAAGGTCATTTCCCTAGCATCAAAGTGTCTAGTTGGGGAGACAAGAAGCAATTAGAACAATTAGAGAACAAGACAGTATATAATATAATAATGTGCCAAGAGGCCTGGTACAAACAGCAAGAAAAAAGGAGACTATTTAATATGGTGTTAATTAGGCAGCATAGGTAAGAAATGCAAAACAAGTTGGAAGACTGAAGAACCAGAGTGAACTAGAGTCATTAGTGAAATTTTCATGGAACTTGACTTGGGTCTCATAGGATTTGGAAAGGCAAAAAAAATGAGAAAGGACATTTTAAGCAGGGGGGAATCAACTGAAAATTTAGACAGGAATGATTTTATTTCTTTTCCAAAGTCAACATTCAGATATGGGGATTGTTCTATATTTATCGACAGCCCTTAGATTCTCCTACCTTCAAGAATGGAAACCTTCTTGTGTAGATGGGCAATCCATTGGCAGCCATTTTTGATATGTATCAATAAGGTTTGTGAAGATATATATGATCTGTATGTTGTATTAAGTTAGAAAGAAGTTGCATAATGGGAAACACAGTGTTTTTCGAGACATTCAGAAAGTGCTTTCCAGGTGTGCTTTTAGATTATTAGCATTATTTAAGTATCAACATTTTTGTTCAAAACTAGGAGATACTTTATTTAAGTTAAGGATTTAGGCTTAGGATGTTCCAGGAATCTTTTGGAGTATGGCTGGGTTTACTGGTTTTCCATTACTTTTAATTGAGTATAAAGATGGTATAACTATAAAGTAATTAGACAATTTATTTTGTGGCTTATAGATAATTAGTCTCATGACTTTGTAGTCAGGCTAGTTTGTTTAAAAAAAAAAGCATTTTCTTAAATCCAAATTCTACTCATTCTTCAAAGTCAAGCTCAGCAAATTACCTTCCCATCAGATCATAAGACTTTTAGGTGAAATAGACCATTGAGGTCATCTAGACCCATCTCTGCATTTTACTGAGTAAACTGAGGACGAAAGGAGCTAACAGACATGCCCGAGGTCTCACAGATAGTAAGTTTAGGGGCCGAGATTTAGATCCAGGTCTTCTGGTCCCAAATCTGGTTCTCTGTTCTGCTGCTATAACATGGTTTTAACCTCTCTTAGTTAACTTTCCAGGACCAGTGCAGCCTGCCTTCTCTGAACTCCATTTGTCTATAGACTACTATGTATAATATTTGACCCAATATTTGTCATACCCTACCTCGGATTGGTAGTTATATTTTCCTGTATTTATATCTTATTTCCCCAACTGGATGAAAGAGCTGTCACTAAATCTTCTCCTGGTCTTACACCTCCCATAGCACCTAGCAAAGTGCCAGACATGGGGTTGGCACTCAAACCTTGTTTGAGGTTGATTAAAGGAAGACCTGACCTTCCACGTTCTCAGAAGCTTTAGCAAACTGGAGGGAGGGCTGCTGTCTGGATAGATATGCAACATGAGACATATATTTCTGTAGTTATATTTGTGTGCTGAGCCTTTAACAGTGAAGGCAATGCCCAGCAATTCAATATGAATAAAGTCAGGAAAGTACCCTGCTGTCACGGAAAGCACACTCACCCAGGAATCGGGAAACCTGGGTTTAGATCTTGGTCCTATCATAACAATAACATTTACATAACACTTTAAAGTTTGCAAAGTGATGTATTATACACCATCACATTTTTATCCTCGCAACCACCTTATGAGATAGGTGCTATTTTACAAATTTTTTTTAACAAATTTTACAAATGTGGAAACTGAGGCAAAGAATGATTAAATGACTTGCCCAGTACCTGAGATCAGATTAAAACCTAGCCCCCCCCCATGCCAAATCTAGCTTGCTTATCCATTGCACCACCCAGTTGCCTCATCAATGTGCTGTGTAACCTTAAGGAAGTTATTTCCCATCTCTGGGCCTCAGTTTTCTCATATGCGAAATGAAGCCATTGGACTATGCTCCCTTCCAACTCTAAAATCCTATGATCCTATGATTCGATGACCTCAAAATCTCCTTTCAGCCCTAAAATTACATAATTTTAGAGTTGAGCAATTTAGCCCTGAAGGAAAAGAACCTAAAATCAGAACTTATGATAAATTCCTTATTTGTGAGGAATAGTATATATCCTGTCCTTGTCACAGTCCTATCCATTTCTTTCTATCCTTTTTTCCTTTTGTCTCCTCTGAACTCCTTTGCTCTAACAGAGCCATTGAAGTCTTTACTTTCTTTTTTTTTTTAATACTTTTCTTTTCCATGGTGGTACCTCAGCCCTGGTGGTGGTGAAAAGAGGAAGAAACAATTTTGTCTCCTTCCCAGAATCTACATGTGGATAAAAAAGGCATTTATATGTTGAACTGATGTCAGCCTTCTGGTTTCATCTCCCACACCAGAAAGGAAAAATTTCAAGGTTCCCAGTTAAGAACGGGCATATTTGTGTCAACAAGGCCAGTATCTGTCATTACTTAGGAAGAACAAATTTGCACTCAATACCTTCCTAGGTCTCTTACCCCATTTTCCCTCAGGTACCTTTCTGCTCTCATGCTAACTCCTGGCTGCTCAGAGCTCCTAAATGCTGGGGCCTCCATCTTGTCCTCAATTTCCTGGGTAGCTTGGAGTGTATTTCTTATGCCTTTTAAGACCCTGTTTATAGCTAACCCTTTGGGAAAGTTATCTCATAAAACAATTCACATTGAGGTATTATATCTGATTATGGGTTAATGTATTATCCCTCCCATAATATAAAAATTATTTTCATCATTCATTTAAATATGAATATTAGTAATTGCTTACATTTATATACTGAGCACCTTCCTCAGAACAAGCCTGTATGGGAGTTTGTACAAATATTATTATTCCCATTTTATAGTTTATTATGATTTTAAAAAACAGGAGACTGTTATAACCTTTAGGAATCAAGCTCTACTGTTGGGAATTCAAATACTGTGACATTTCAGAAGAGATGAAAAATTATACTTAATATAATTATTATAAAGATATATGTGAGAAGCAGCATGGTTCTAGTGTCTAGAGAGAGGCCAGCTTAGAGTCACAAAGGTGTAGTATAGACAGCCCTGGACTTGGAGTCAGGAATATTTGTGTTTCAATCTTGCCTTAGAGTCTTACTAGCTATGGAGGCCTATCTGGGCCTCAGTTTTCTCATCTGTGAAATGAGGGGATTGGGTTATTTGGCCTTTAAAATGGAGAACAAAGGAAAAACATCACAAAATCCCTTTCAACTCTAAATCAGTTATATAACCCAGATTCCACTGAGTCAGAGTCAGGAAGACCTGTGTTCAAGAGTAACACTACAAGAAGTCACTTGATCTCTGAGGGCCCTCAGGCAATTCTTTTAAACAAATTTGCAAATGAATTACTAATTTGTACTGGTGGAGGAGCTTCTACAATGAGTTTCCCCACATTATGCACTATGGAGTAGAGCTAAATATTGGACCAGCTCCATTGAGTTAGGTTTCCATACTACAGTATAATGAACTAAGACAAGGGTTGGGAGTGGGGGGTGAGAGAGAGGAGAAGGGCAAAGTTAGGAGAAAGATGCTGCTATCTCACTATGCTAGACTGGATACTGATCTTTCACAGTCTCTTGCTATACTTTATTTAGAGCAACTCAGTAAGTATTAGCTGATGATTTTTTTTAAATCCCCAGACATAGTAATTTATGAAATAGGAATTTGACAGTTTGTTATTTTTAATTTTTGTTTCAGCAATGTAGAGCTGTTCCAAATGAAACACACCCTTATGAGAAGGGATAGAGAAAGGGACTGGAGCTGTGATTTCATTGGTTTAGGGAATTTCCAGGTAAGGAAATTCCTTCTACCAATTCAGGTCAGCACCTTCTCTGCAATTCTTAGTCTTAGAGGTGCCTAAAAACCACTGTCTTGCTCAGAGTCACCCAACCAGTATGTCTCAGAGGCTTGGAAGGTCATCAACCAGGTAGAACTTTCTGGCTTTGAGGCTGGCCTTCTCTTCAGTCTACCTGGTTGCCTTTATGTCCTTAAGAAAAAAAAATAAACAAATAAAAATGTCACACTCTCATGTCCTTCCTGTAAAATTGGGGCTCCATGAAACCTATGAGGATTCTAGAATTCCACAGGTCCTTTCAGAAGTAGAGGACTCTACCAATGGGACCAGCGGGACTAGATCAAGAAAAAATTTTAAAGGCATCAGTTGTTGGTTTTGTTTGTTTTTTTTTTTTTTTGGTGGGGGAAGTGATGGGACTTATTGTCTCTTCAACCCCTCATCCCCAACCAGGCACCCCAGGTCCTCATACTGTCTGAATTGCTTTGGTCATGCAGGAATGGACTTAAAATGGCATCCCTTCAGGAGTATATGCATTAAAAACAATAAAATAAAATAAAGGAGAGCCTAGTAATAACAATGCTTAACTCTAAGAAAACACCATTAAAATATGAGGCACCATGACAGACAGTGGGTAATAATTTTGTTTTGTTTGTCTTGGCAGAGAGCCCTTTCCTACATCCTTCACATCCCACCACTTCAGTAGCCATTCTACCTGGGGTGGACATGATTTGAGTGGAGAAGGGAGAGGGCAAAAGGGAAATCAGTGACAAGAAAGTAAATCTTAGTTCACTTTTAACTCTTTCCCTCTCCTTTCCCTCTTCAGGCTAGCATGAAGATGTCCCTTACTTCTCCTGTGCCTTTAGACATTCTTGCTCTGAAGATACAGCCATTCTCCCAGAGTGCACCAACCTGTTTGGACCACAAGTGCTGGAAAGAGCACATCTCATTCTCTGGTAAGTACACAATTTCCTTTTTACTTTGAATATACCTACTTCCTTTTAGCAGAGAAAGCTGAAAGGAGACTATTTTTTTTTTTTTGTTGGGGCCTGCAGACTGTTTTGTTGGTTTGTTTGACAGAAGGATGTGATAGCGATCCATTCCTACTCCTGGCAGAGAGGGACTTAGTGGTTATCAAGAAAAAGGATTAATATCAAATTCCGTTACAACAAATGCTATCACAGAAAAAGTCTCTGTATAATCAAATAGATCTTTCAGACAGGATTGCACAATGGAAATTTTATTTTAAGCTCTATTTAATAACAGACATTTCTGGCTCAGCCAAATAGCATAGTGAGGTCTTCAGAGTGTGTTATAATTGGGATTCAACTGGTATTTTAAAAAAACTATTTCATAGACATTCTTCTTTTATATTTTATGTCCTGAGGGATAAAATGGAGAGTTCTTCCATTTTCAAAGCACTGACTTCTTAGTTATGTGTGGCCACAGCAGGTTTGGACTTGGTTTTTGCTTGGTCTAGTTCGGTCAGAAGGATTTAAATTTCAGCTCAGAGAGATAACAAACTAAGAATATTCAGCAAAGATTGTAAGATAAGGATGGCAAACTGAACCGTCTAAGTTGGAAGCAGTTTTCTACCAGAAGGGATAAAATGTGTGCCCACTTAGGTGCAACATTCCATTAGGAAAGCAAGAAGAGGAGCATTCAGTGCATCCTTTCATGGAGGCAAATAGCCAGGAAATCTACAAAATATTTGGCAGCCAGGGTAAGTCCACAAATTATTTGGGAGCCTAGTCTCAGCCTCCCCTGGTGGAGAGAATTGATTGGAGGAAGCTGAGGCTGTTGGGAGGAAGAAGTTATCATAGATTGATCAAAAAAGAGAGATGAAGTCAAAGCTCATAGAAACCACGTTCAGGTTCTTCTCTTTTGGAGCCAGCTTCTGCAAAAGACTGACTTTGGTGTGAGGATGAGATGGTGCTGGAAGAAGAGTGAGGGCTGCCTTGCATGTTGGTGTGCCTTTCTCTCCCTACAGCTGCCATTCCCATTTGGCCTTCTAAAACTGAAAAGCATCCCCTTTCCCCTCTCACCCACCATTCACTCCCATGCCCAGCCTATGAAAGACCAGGGGTTACTTGTCCCTTGAGTGGTGTGAGATGGATGATCTTCCCACCTCTGCCCCTAAGACCAACAGTTGGGGAAGGGGGAGGTCACATTGCTCAAATTTACAAACTTGACCTCTGGATCCATCTCAGCATTTTTTCCTTGCCTAGGAACAATGGGAATGAAATGCCACAGCCAGGCAATAACAAAAGCCCCCTTCCTTAGAGAACAGAGACCTCCTCTCAGGCTAAATCCCATCTCCCTCTTCTCCCTTCCCCCACTCAACATGTGACATGCATTTGTCCCATGAGTCTTTGCTTGTCAGGGCACTGCCTTCAAGAGAGTTGATAGCTGTGTTTTTTCACTCAGTCATAATAGTCAAAGAATCAGTCCTTCCTTAAAGCTGGGTCCCTCAAATATTAAACTCTATAGATGGTGTCTATAAGTCCATCTCTTTTTCTTCTCCCTTATCTTGCCATCTTCCCCCACCCCAGCTGTCACTTCCCAAGGCCAACCCTCAGCAAAAGGTTGACATTGGCCAAGTTTGTCCTTGTGAAACACATGCCTTGTGAATTGGAGCATCTTTTCTACACGACCAGTGTGAGCCCTTTTGAATATTATTTACCATGAATACAGTTCAGGAACATGTGGTGCTCACACCCATATGTTTGTTTACTCTTACAGGTATGTAACCTTAATCTCAAATATGGAGACTGTCAACATTTTTTCTCCAGCAATAAAGGAGCCACATTTTTATGCTGCATTGTCCAGTTGGTTTTATTCTGTTTTCCCAAATGTAGCCGGGCTCTTAAACTAATACTTGGCAATAATCAGTGAAGGATTTTTGACAACTTTTAGGAGTATTTAAGGCAAAGGGATATTTTCTAATAGGAGCACTTAATTAGCTCAAATAAATATATAGAAGAGTAACCAATTAGCTAAGAATAGGAGAGGGCAGTATTCAAAATAAGGTTTGGAATCTTATGTGCTAAAATTGGGAATATTCTATCAACATGCCCTCCTTGTCTACCTCATTTAAAGTTTAATACTTAAGTGGACTGGTTATTTCAAAGTTATAATGCAGATAAGTTTTTTTTTTTTTGCATGTTTGAGCAAAAGAAGGAGAAAATCTTAAGGGTCCATTGGTATTCTTTTGCAAGTTGGGAAGAAAAGATAGCTTTCCTTTTCCCTCTTATTCCATAAGTTCCTTTCTCTCTTTTACTCTTCTTTCCCTCTTCCTTACCCTTCTTTCCTTTTCTTTTAAACTATTTCCTAATCACAGAAACCTCTAGGTTTACCTACCTTGCCTGTAGGTCATGTATCTGTTAGCTGCAACAACTGGAACACAGATGAAAATGGAAGAAAAAATAAGTGTCTTTAAAATAAATGTCCAAAGTTTATGTTCTAAGTTGTGTGTGTCCTCAATTAGAACTACCTACTCTTACTATACATACAATTAATAACATATCTGGCACTTATATAGGACTTTGCAAGCTTAAAAATATCTCATTTTATGCTTGCAATGATCCCAGAAGATAGGTGGTATTATTTTCCCCATTTTATAGATGAGGAAACTGAGGCAGACAGAAGTTAAATGACTTGCCCAGGGTCACTCAGGTATTAAATATCTGAGGCTGATTTTGAATTCAGATCTTCCTGACTCCAAGTCCGGTATTCTATCTACTGTACCACCTAACTGCTACCTAACAGGCTTAAATATTTATTTGATTTTTGAACTCACACATGAGAAGCAGCAAACTAGAGGGGTAGAGCTTGCTAGTGACAGATATCAGGGAAAAAAAGCTGACAAGGAAAGAGGAGACAGAAAAACTATAAAAAAGCAGACATAAGTACAATAGCCTGCTGTCAGTTAGTCCCAGGGCAAATAGCCCCTTCACACATCAATACCCACCTCAGGGTATCACTCTATGACAATATGGTACAATAAGTATTTATAATAATGATTCTGAGTCATCGATAGAAATTAGATCATCAGTTAACTATCAATCAGTAAGCATTTATTAAGTATCTACTATGTGCCAAGTACTATGCCAAGCACTCAGAATATCCATAGAAGAATAAGAAAATTTCTACTCTCAAGGATCTTACGTTCTAATAAGGGAATCTATCTGTCTGTCTATCTTATCTACGTAAATACACACACATATATACCATATGACAAATATTACATTTGTTTTTAATAATAATAATTTCTAGCATTTACGTAGCACTTAAAGGTTTACAAAGCACTTCACAATTATTATCTCATTTGATCATCACAACAATTTTGGGAGTAGGTACTATTATTATCCCCTTTTTACAAATGAAGGAACTGAAGCAGACAGAGGTTAAGTTACTTGTCCAGAGTCACACAACTAATGTATGAGGCTAGATTTGAATTTAGGTCTTCTCGACTCTAACTCTATCACTCTTTCCACTGTACTACATATCTGTATCTGTATCTACATCCATATCCATACACACATAATATACATATGTGTGTGGCATTCTTTATATACACATTTATGTTATTTATATGCAAGTAAGGAATAAAATATAAATAGAAAGCATTAGATACAGGGTAGAGAGATCAGGAAAGATGTTCTACATCTACTTCATGGAGAATGTGGTGTTTGAGTCATATCTTAAAATGATGGCTAATCTATTCTTTTAAAGAAGGCAAAGAAAGTATATTTTGGAAAGCTTTCCATTAAAAATAATAAAAATAAATAAATATTTTGGTGCATGAAATAGTGAACTTCAATCCCCTTGAAATGTCACATTCATATGAATTCCTTCCTCAGTGATGTTGGATACAGTAGGTATTGACATATGCTACATTTAACATGGTGCTAAAATAAATATAGATAGCATCATACATTTCTCAGGGTGGTATTCACCCACAGTGTCAGGTAGTGCATAGAGGGCTGGCCTTAGATTCAGGAAGATCTGGATTCAAATCCTGTCTCTGACACATACTAGTTATGTGATCATGGCCAAGTCACTTAACTTCTCAGGGCCCTAGGTGAGTCTTGGACTACAAGATACTGGCCATGTTGCAAATCTGCATTTTTGGAGGAAGTTTCTTCACTGGAAGGAAGGAAGGAAGGAAGGAAGGAAGGAAAGAAAGAAAGAAAGAAAGAAAGAAAGAAAGAAAGAAAGAAAGAATGGAGGGAGGGAGGAAGGAAGGAAAGAAGCAAAAAATGAGAAAATAAAAAAAATGTTAAAGCTGAAAGTAACCTTAGAAATCATGTCATCTAATCCTCTCATTTTGTAGGTGAGAAATTGAGGCCCCGAATTGCTTAAGTATAAAGGTCTTAATGAAGGTCACATAATTTGTCATAATTATCTATCTCAAAAGTATCTAGAGTTGTAAAGTGGTTGCAGATCAGTTATTGAGAAAATGGGCTCTGATTCCTAAAATCTAGCCACTGCTTTGATTCTTAGAATCTAGCCAATACCTCACAGACTCTCAGATTCTTCAAGAGTCTGGCTAATATGGCAGATCTTTAATAAACCTTGTCTTTGGCTGAAAAAAAAATTATTGAGAAAATGTTATTCTTTCTTCTTGGGAGAGAATGAAGGAAGAGATATGGGGGCTCTGTGCCATCTAATCCTGACTGAAGCTCTGGCACTAGGGAAATGTGCCTGTTGGGGGAGCTCTGAAGCCCCAAGTTGCGCTGCCATGTTCCAATTGAAAATGGTATCTCAGAACCAGAGATGGCTAGAAAGTCCCAATTTTAGTTTAGTGTGGAGATACAGCACTCAGGCATACCCCACTGAAACCTTGAGAGAGTTCAACTCCCGATTCTCCAGATGTAAATGACTGACAAACTAAAGGTAAGCTATTTGCTTTACCAAAGATTTCTTTAAGCAGAAAGCTGCCTCACAGCATATT